CGAAAATAATCTTCTGACATCACTTCTGAGTTATGATATCTGATATAGAAAAGTCAGTATAGCTACCCATTGAATTTGCCCTGCCCTAATCCCAAGTAGTTCTCAAAAGAAATCAAGTTGAAAGCACTTTTGATTTTGTCTTTTATGAGGATAAATGGAACTCATCTTCGTGAAACTGAATGTACAGTTTTTATCTGACTCTCTTTTTTTGCATCAGAAAGGCCTATAGGTTCACAATTGAATGAATAGACAAATTGGCAGAGTCCCCTGATTTGCAACATCTCTTACCTGAGGCAATGGTTTTATTCTGCCTGGTTAGTTTTCTGGCTGTTCCTGCTTTCTGAATAATGCTATCAGACATTCCATGAAATCAATAAGGAAAAGTAGCTAAGCTTGGTGTTTCCCTCCTATGGACTGGAACTGTCCCTGGAGAGAGGAGAACCACTGCAAAATCATACCGTTCACTCTTCTTTCCATAATCAATCTAATTTTTTACTGCAAATCTTTCCTAAATCTTCCAAATGCAGAAGTAACTAAGCTGAAAGCCTGAAAATACAGGGGAGACCTATGGGACTTCAAAATTAGTACTCAGGTAGGTTACCTAGTTTATGGGCCACAGGTTGCCTACTTTTGATTTTTCAGGACTACCTTTTATAAAGTAACCTACATAGACAAACACTTTCAGAGAGTCATAACAGCTGCAGTGATAAGCATATAAAACCCTTTTGATACATATTGACTATGAATTCAGAAGAATATAGTTTTGAACAAAACTGTTATCTGTCAAAATAGCTGCCCAGCGAGACTAAATATAACAAGGCCGATGTAAAATGTATTTCTGATTAAAGCAAAGTATAAGGTAATGCCTCTTCCCATTCCACTTACACCTGAAGCTTACAGTATTCTAAAACTGGTGAAACTGCTTCTCTGCAAATCAAATACTGACTACATAGCCCACACAGCTCAGGATAACAGCTTTATTATTTAATTTATTTAAGTGTACTAATGTTTGAAGAATAGCCAAAGCTATTACTGTAACCTTCCAAATTACCCATCATTTTTTGACTGATGTAAGCATTTCAGTCTTCCTAATAGCAGGGCTAGTCTTGAGATGGATGACTATAGGAAGAGTTGTCATAGCAGCCACTGTTGGGGACTTCGGATGTAATAAGCATGACAACCTAACAGCTTTAACAGTGGATACTCTCAAGTGTCCCTTAACATAGTTGTTATTTCACAGACCATATTTGCTAGAGAAATGCAGTAGTTCAAACAGCTTAATTAAAGATTTTAAAATTTAAGAAAATCAGTTGTTTGAATTAGGACCAAAAGGTTGGACCATTGATACAAAAGTCAAAGGGCTTTATTTTTTTTCTGCATTACATACCAATTAGAACTTCCAAATCATCTTCAGAGAAAGCTTTAGTGGTTCATTGGATGCCTTCATTCTGTCTAATTCTTGACTCACAGAAGAAAAATGGGAGACTGGATAATTATTCAGGCTCATGGGGTTTAAAGTGCACTACAATCCCAAAGACAATTAGAAAAGCTACAAATCATGAAAGGTGCCAATTTCTGGTTGTTCAGCAAACTTGTGCATATAATTATTTATGGTAACCTGCTGACTAAGCTTCTGTGTAAGAAACTGCTATGACTAGTTGTGTGAAAAGATTGCAGAATAGCTAATATGCACAGATCATTTCTTTTTGCAGGCTTCCACAATGATATGTGAATTGTGAATATGCATGTGAATAAAGTAGACCACTTTCTTCACACACACACACACACACACACACACACACACACGTATGTATGTATATAGTCATATATATGTATTGACACACACACACACACAAATGTGGGAAAGACAGCATGGCCACCAGATGGATTTGTAACTGGCTGACAAATTGTACTCAACATGTAGTCCTCAATGGAACTACATCTACATACATGGAGGGAAGTAATCAGTGGGGTACCCAAAGGTTCTGTTTTAGGCCCAGGACTCTTCAATATCTTCATAAACAATCTAGACAAGGGAATAGAATGGGAACTCATCAAATTTGCTGGCAATTGGAGAATTTGTACCCAGTTGTCCTCTATTCAACCATCCTTGGAATTTGCTTACTCTGTAAGCAATTTTTTTTCTGCATTTGCTGCCCTTCTTTGCTCTATTATTATTCATATTCAGATATAGAGCCCTGTTGTCATTATTTCCATATTGCATTTCTTTCATTTTCCTGGGAAGACAGTTAAATTGTTTATCTGAAATTTTAAAAATAGAATTTCTTCCCACTGTTTTAGTCATGAATGTCTTTTAACTCTTGCATCACTTATAAATAGAGCATAGTATTTTATCAGTATATACCTACTAATTATAGTATATAATAATTTACAGAATATGTAGTACTGAAATCTATCCAGGCAGCATGAACTCATCTTAGAGTTTTCTTTATAGTCTTCCAACAAGTGGGTTGTTTATGGCAATTCAGTCTGAAAGTATTCATCTTACAGATATATTAGGAATACAGACAATTAAAAGCATGGATTAAAAAGACAGGTAAATTTCACAAAAATGTCAAGAGTGATGTGGTTACAGAAAACTTTATGTGGCTTTGCTATCCAGATAGCTTTTATCCCTACTGGTCTTATAATGGAAGGCGTCTGCAACATATTTTATTAAAAGGCATGACATTTCATGAGATACAGCTTAGTTTATGTATTTAATAACATTTTCTACTTAGAAAAGGTGCTAATAAACTCCTCCTGATTTTTTTGCTATCTAGTTTAATGAAGAGAAGAACGAGGGGGGACATGATAGCAGTGTTCCAGTATCTCAGGGGGCTGCCACAAAGAAGAGGGAGTCAAGCTATTTTCCAAGGCGCCTTAAAGCAGGACAAGAAGCAACAAGTAGAAACTAACCAAGGAGAGAAGCAACCTAGAATTAAGGAGAAACTTCCTGACAGTTAGAACAATTAACCAGTGGAACAACCTGCCTCCAGAAATGGTGAATGCTCCAACACTGGAAGTTTTTAAGAAGAGACTGGACAGCCATTTGTCTGAAATGGTATAGGGTTTCCTGCCTGAGCAGGGGGTTGGACTAGATGATCTCTAAGGTCCCTTCCAACATTATTATTATTATTATTATTATTATTATTATTATTATTATTATTATTGACTAGCATGGCTCTCTTTCTATAATATATCAATAGTGAGACATTGCAGGATTGCTGGTATGTGCAGAACATTCCAGAATCATCTAAGATTTAATAGTTGGGTAATAAAAAGAAGATTTAGAATCTTAAAGGTAAAGGTTTCCCCTTTCCTGTTGTGTCTGAGTCTAGTTGATAGTACTAATCTCCATTTCTTAGCTGAGGGAGCCAGCATTGTCCGAAGACACTTCTGTGATCATGTGGCCAGAATAACTATAAGTTGAAGTACATAAAATGCTGTACCCTTCCTACCAAACTGGTATCTATTTACCTACTCACATTTGCATGGTTTTGAACTGCTAGATGGGCAGGAGTTGGAGCAAGTAATGGAAGCTCACCGAATGATGCAACACTCAGGTCTGAAAACTGGACTGTCAACTTTCCAGCTGACAAATCCATGCTAGGAAGACTAGATCAAAAGATCTGAGTAAAATGTCTGCAAAATGGGGCAGAACACAGAGGGTAATAGTTGATTAATAGTTTTGATTGGAGCGGTGCAGTGGCTCAGCAGTTAAGACACTGTGCTTGTTGGCTGAAAAGCCAGCAACCCGGGTTCATAACCCAAGCGCTGCATGATGGGATAAGCTCCCGTCCTCGCCCTTGTCAACCTAGCAGTTTGAAAGCATGCAAATGTGAGTAGATAAATAGGTACCACTTGGATGGGAAGATAGCAATACTCTGTGATGTCATGCTGGCCAGGTGACCACAGAAATGTCTTTGGACAGTGCTGACTCAATGGCCTTGAAATGGAGATGAGCACTGCTCCCTGTAATCAGCAACAACTAGTGGAGTAAAATCTGCAGGGATTCCTTTTACCTTTATTAATCAAGGTAATATCACCCTTGGATGATGAATAATTTTATTATAAGATTCAAGGATAAAAAGGATAGATAGTAGTTTATTGATTTGGGAAACTAAGTCCTTGGAAAAGAAATTCTTAGCAAATGTTGAAGAAAAATGAAATTGTGTGACAAGCCTGATCCTTGTCTCTTGTGCCATAGTACCTGCTTCAAATGTGACTGGGATATCAGCTCCATGCAGGAGAGATTTATAAAAATGTTTCAGTGACTAGTAAACCATTCCTAAAAAGTGAGTTAGACTACAAAAACAAGGCCAGCGTCAAGATTGATGAGATAACTGGCTGGCATAGCTGCTGCATTTGTATGCATTGCATGGCCTTCAGTTTTTAAAGGGGTGGGTGTAGAATACAACCAACCAGCAGTTGTTTTAACTGGTTCCAGATTAGCCATATCTTCTTCGTACAATGCTTAGCAGGAGATGGGACAAAGACAGCAACCAAAAGGAAAGTGCAATTTTCAGAAGAATATTGGTTCATTTTTATGATATAGCTTCCCCAGCCAAATCTATGTCAACCAAACAGCCTTTGGTTCTTTAAATAGCATTCAATTTATTATAATAGATCTTCCTCCTGGATTTCAAGTGCTGTGATCATTAGATCCTTGTCTTAATATTTCAGGTGTCCACTTGACTGAACCTCAGCATTGCCTAAATAACAGTAACCCCACTCTAAATATGCCAGAAAATTAAAGCAGCCTTCTTCAATATGTCCTCTAGGCGTGCCAATTTCCAGGAGTGGGGCTAGCTAGAGAATGTCATCCAACGCATCTGGGCTGCACCAAACTGGGAAACCACGTTTTAAAGAAGCCTCCGGTTCCCGGCGCTTCTCAGGCTCCTTCCTTGCACAGCAGCAATCCTCCTACGCATCTCCGCTAGCATCCTTCTCCCAGCTTGCTTGACTGGCCGCGTTTCAAGCCCCTTCCAAGCGCCAAGGCCCGCAGCAACCCACGGCGGCTTCCTCACTTTCTTCTTTCGCTACCCAACACTCGCTCCGCTCCGAGCAGCCGCCACTTCGGAAACTTTGAAGGCGGAGGTCCAGCGGGGAAGAACAGAGAAGCCGCCTTTCTCGGCTGGCTTAGTGGCGGCTTGGATTAAGCATTCAATTGGACGCTTCATTCGCGCAGTTCTAAGGGTAAAAATCAACGGCAAAGGGAAGCGCGGTTCGGTTGCCGCTCGGCGCTCCTTCCTCTCTAAAGTTTCGGGCTTCGCGAGCGGGATCCTCCGTCGCCCAGTTGTACTTCATTCTGCGGCGGGACGCTCGAAGTTTAAGGCTGTTCTTTCGAGGACTTCGAGATCGCTTGGTGCGGTCTAAGAAAAAGGCGGGTCCTTAGTTGAACGAGATTCTAGTTCTTATTCCTTGAGTTTAAACAAAACAAAGCAAAACGCCCGATAGCGCCTGCCATGTCCGAGGAGCGAGGGAAGACAGAAGAGTGATCCTGAACTATGCGATCCCTGAACATCACCCCGGAACAGTTCGCGCAGCTCTTGCGCGACAACAACGTAACCCGCGAGCAGTTCATCGCGCTCTATGGGCTCCAGCCCCTGGTCTACATCCCGGAGCTACCCGAGCGCGCCAAGCTGGCCTTCATCCTCACTTGCGCGGCCATATTCGGCCTGGCGCTCTTCGGGAACTGCCTGGTGCTCTACGTGGTGACCCGCCGCAAAGCCATGCGTACCGTCACCAACATCTTCATCTGTTCGCTGGCCCTCAGCGACCTGCTCATTGCTTTCTTCTGCGTCCCTTTCACTTTGCTGCAGAATATCTCCAATAATTGGCTGGGAGGTGAGCTGGAGAGGCTGCTTAGAGCCTCGTCCTAGCAGGCAGACAGTTTATCCGCCAGTAGTGTGTGTCCTTTGCTAAGAATCTGTGCCTCGAAGCTATCCCCACACATCTTTCTGGTTCCTTACGGTTGGGTTTCCTTTACACAGTATGCTTAGATGTGCAAAGAAGGGTTAGAAATGTGGGAACTGGGTGTCAGAATCTGACTTTGTAATAGAGAAAAAAATATTCTTACACCTTTGGAGAGGTAACCCCTTTGTCTTTTCTTTCTATTGCTCTTGTTGGGGGTGTATACGTGTGAATGGTAGATTACTTGTGTTTGCAAAAGTTCTTGCTTAATGGACAAATATCTACTTCATTCTTAACAGGTATATTGGCTTCAGTGCTGTGTTGGGGAATCTTGAACCTAATGTTAATTCTTCATGTTTGAGAATTCTCTACTGGCAAAAGTCAACTTGGTGCTGGACTTCAGTTCCCATAATCCCCAGGGTCAACACATTGGGAAATGCTGATTTCCATTTTACAACCATTCCTTGTTTTCATAACATTATTAGTAGTTCAATGCTAGAAGGTGAATATAATCCAATATAGCATTTATATGCTATATTGCATATAAACTTTTATATGCAATATAGCATATAAACTTTTTATATATATCTCAGATACAAGATGTAAATGATAATAGCATATAAACTTTTAATATATATCTCAGATACAAGATGTAAATGATAATCTTTCTAGGATCTAATTTCAATAGGCATAGTATTTCCTATGGATTAATGTCATGGTCATTTCTTTATAACTTGCCACGGCAGAATTAAAGTGTTCAGTAAAATGTCTTGACATTATTAGTACATAATTAAATATCATACTGTATGCATACAGTCAAACTTACAAATAAGTATAAATATATAACATTAGGTCACTTAGTATTTTAAAAGTATGCATTTGTTTTATCAGTATCTTAATACTGAACAATATTTTTCATTCTCAATTATCTACTGACTTTTTAAAACCTGGGAGTAGAATATTTGAGATTTTTGTGATGCTGGAAAGGACCTCTGCCTTTGCAGACCTAGTATTCTATTGAATTAGTTGTAGAAATGGATTGGTTTGATATTAATATTAATTTCATATTTGTAGTGGATGATGATCCACTGAATGATAGCACTCTGGATCCATATTCCCATCTTCCCTATCAGTATTAAAAATTGGTAAAAAATCATTCCATTCATTTCACTTCAGAATTAGGTTGCATGAGATGCTTAAGCTAATACTGTTATGTACCAAAAATCACAGCCCTGTGGTATTATTATAATGCACAATAATCAATCTTAAAACTGAACTAGAAATTAATTGGAATACGTTTATATGGGCGTCATCACCTATAGTCCTAGTCTGGGACAGCCTCCCCTTTTAACAGGTTTTATATGTTATCTTCTGAAGGACTAGATATTTTGCATAGTCAAACCAATCCAAGGTTTCCTTAATTAACTTTTATAAATTAAGTGCAGTAACAAAAACTGAAGCAAAACACATTTACCACTAGTAATTATGTTATATATGAATCAGTAAATAATATATATATATATATGCCATCAAATTGTTTTTGATTCTTAGTAACTACATACAGTAGGTACTCTCCATGATGATCTGTCCCTAACCTGTTCTTTCAAGTGTCCCAACTTATTAGGTAGGCTGATATTACTGAAAGAAGATAGTCTGTAGATATCCAGACCATGAACTATGGAGGACTTTGAAAATAAAAATGAACATTTTGAATTGCTTTCAGAAATAAAATAGGAATCGGTGTGGTGGGTTGATAGTGTGTACTTAACACCACATAACTGAGTCCATCCACCTTGCTGTTGGTTCATCTCCTGATTTTTTTAACCTTTCCCAACATTAGTCTTTTTTAGAGAAGTGGGTCTTTGCATAATGTGCCCAAACTGTATAGTGTGTGTGTGTGTGTGTAGATAGCTATGCTGATTGAAATGGATCTAAATAACCCATTTTCTTCCTCTTGCAGCTATAGCTTAACCACTTTCTCCACAACTTTCACCCTAAAGTGGAGGTTGGAGATGGTAATTGTCCAGTATATCGGCTTCTTAAGGAGGGATATGCTGTCACTTCTTTCAGAGAACAAATGTTCACAGGAAATCACACATATCACTTTTTTATCCTTACAACAGCTCTGCTCTAGGAACAAGAAAGACTTGGGAAAACCATTTAATTAGTTCATGGAAGAGATTTGTTTTAAACTTCCTGAATGTAGCTATCTTTGCTGAATTTGAATTCTGAATGGAGAATTTTAGTCTCTTTTCCTTGAAATACTTACACTGCTCCAGGGAATTTCTCTTTTATTATTGTATGATAATCAAAGTCTTATTTTTTATATTGTGCAATTAGGGATATAATTGTTATACGTTGCATTACACTCTTATCTTGTTGCACATGTGAATATTTAGCCTACTAGTTCCACATCTCAGAACTATTGCATTTTATGACTCCTTGAGGGCTAATAGTGAGCTTATGGTGCTGATTTTGGAAATTACTGCAGAAATGTTAAATGATGAATAAGAATAAGCCTTTCAAATATGGGCAAACTGTATCAGTGAAGTCTTTGTACTTAGAACTAATGTAGTTCATCAGTAAGTTTTCATGCCACTAAAGAGAGTTGTAAAAAAATCCATTTTGTATTTACATAGGAAAATCTGAGATGTTCCAAAGGTGTTCTAAAGAAATATTTACACACATAACTGTTTTTCTAGAATTGTCAGTAAGAGGAGATTGATTTCAAACAAAGCTACAAGAGTCCTGTAGCAAACTTAAATAAAATCACATCATTTGTATTAACCAAAGAAAAGGCTAAAATTACTGAATGCTACTTGATTAGGTTTAGACACTAACTGCAGGTAGTACAATGGAAACTGAGATTGAATTTTTTTATTGCTAAGCAATATGATTGTAAAATGTAAGATCACATGTCCATATTGTTTTGTGACAGCAATTCTAGCACTCAGTTTCTGGGTAACATGAGGACCACCCAAGTCATTAAGCAAAAACCTCATGTGATCATGACTTCTTACTTTCTGCTGGCTTTCCCATTGACTTTGCCGAAAAAATCAGATGCTGTGACAGCCAGAACTCCAAGGACTGGTTGTAAGTCCTCCTTGTTCTGCACTGTCATAACTTTGAACATTCACTTAATGAATAATGATAACCTGAGGACTAGCTGTAATGATGCTTTAAGAAATAATTTCACAAGACAGAATTACTATATCAGATTATGCAGAACTGAATGCATAATTAAGCTGAGTCATTATGCCTTTCTCCTCTTCATATCCTTTATCTGAAAAATGTTAAGGATTACTTGTTTTTTTTCAGAGAATAAGGTGAATATTCATTTAGTAGATGTAAAATAGCAAATCCTAAAGATTGCCCATGCTATTGGATTCCTTGACTCAAAAGAACAGGAATATTTCTGATTGTTTTTATATCTATATATCTCTATCTCTATCTCTATATATCCATCCATCCATCCATCCATCCATCCATCCATCCAACCATCCAACCAACCATCCCTCCATCCATCCCTCCATCCATCCATCCATCCATCCAGGATAAGCTTTCTCAGTGCTTTTTTTGTAAAAAAAAAAAAAAAAAAGGTGCCAGAACTCACACACGTTATACAACCCGCCTTGCCTATCCTACAAGGTTCCATCCAAAAAAGATGCTGGAACTCTGTTCTGGGCGTTCTATGACAAAAAAAGCCCTGAGCTTTTGCAACTCATTTTATTAGATCCAAGTGATGACGTATGCTGCAGTTCACAAAAATATGTGTTTTTAAATACAATTTATTAGTTGGAAAAGGTTTTACCAGACTCCTCTTGGTTTTTTGCTACCATAGATAACACAGTTCTCCTATTACAAATCCTTTCATGGATTGTTCCCTTGTAATATTAAACAGGTTTGTAAAACACAATAAGCTATAAGATATACATTTGGGACTGTACAGTCCAAATAGGGCCACTCATGATGGCAGGTCATAGATAACGTAGCAAACTAGAAAAGAAAGTGACAACTGGTCCCAGAATGCTGCCAAAAACCAAGTGAACATTCAAAAGTATGATAATATCAATGTTTGGAAAATAAATCCCTTAGATTGTTAGAAATCCAGTGAGTTATTGCAGAAGAATAGCAGAAAAGGCAAGGATTGGAAGTATTAGTGCTCTTTTGGTAGCAGGCTTAAAGTTGAAAAGTTTAACTCCAGGTGTGTCCAGGAGCAAAAGGAAAGTTTAATGTTGCACATAAGAAAGATGCCATTATTTATTTATTCAATCAGTTAGTAGTCAAATTTATATTGCTGTTCATCTTATGAAAGAGTGACTCTGGGCATTGCACATCAAAACTATAAAACAGTAACATAAAAAACAATTTTTATACATGAGATATCAGAACTGTGAATCAAGATGAAAGTAAACTTGATGGGATAAAAGCCGGAATACCAAATACTGAACACTGACATCCTGATGCTATTGATTAGCAGGCAGAATTATACAACCATTTCCATCTTTATTAAGGCTTAACAGGCAAAAGTAGTCTCTATATGTTAAAATCCTCTACCAGGATTTGGTTTGGATAATCTCTAAAGAGGATTGAATATATGAGGACTACCTATGTTAATGCAGCTCAGTAAGGATGGAAATGTTCACATTGTGACTTCTACTGCTCAGTAGTAATAATAACATCTGTAAAATCTTTATAAACTGCTCCATAAGTGGAGAAAGTTGAATCTTTTAGCATGAGGCCCAGACACATAAAAACAATAATCTGACAGTGTTTAAGGAAAGAAATATATTGTAATATCTATTGATATTAGCAGACCAAAATGGACTAGAATTGATTCAAAGCAGATTTTCTGTTGATAAGAAAATCATAGAGAAATAGTGTAGCTATTGACAAAATGGTGTCTATCAGTGACTGAATGCCTACCTTCTTCT